AACTAAAAAAAAAACTTAGCAATGTAGCAGGGTACAAAGTCAACATGCAAAAATTAGTGCATCCCTATAGACTAATAATGAATAATGTGAAAAGCAAATAAATAAAACAATTCCATTCATAAAAGCACCAAAAAAATTAAAATAAAATACTTAGAGATTAACCCAGGGGAGACCTATGCAATGAAAAGTCCAAGACATTCTGAAATTAGAAAAGACAAACAAATTGAAAGACATCCCATGATCATTGACTAGAAGACTTAATACCAGTAAGATGCCAGTATTACCCAAAGCAGTCTACACATTTAATGGAATCTCTATAAAAATCTAATAATTTTACAGAAACATAAAAATATTTTTAAATTCATATGAAATCTCAAGTGACTCCAAATTACCAAAACAATCCTGAAAAAGGAGAGGACTTTCTGATTTCAAAGCTACAGCAATGAAAACAGTTGTAGTACTTGCAAGAACAAACATATACAGACTTACAGAATAGATAGTATAGAAATAAACCCTGGCACATGTGGTCAAATGAACTTTGACAAGGATGCCAAAACAATTAAATGGGGGAGAGATAGTCTATTTGATAAATGGTGATGACAAAATTGGATCTCCATGTGCAAAAGAATGAGCCTTACGTAACATCAAATACAAAAATCAAAATGGATCCCTGACTTCAACATATCTACAATTATAAAACTACTAACACAAAATACAAAGCAAAAGCTTTGTGATACTAGACTTGGCAATGACTTCCTAGATATCACAACAATGGTACAGACAACAAAGGGAAAAGTTTCTTTTGTTGAAAAAAAGTCTCTTTATCAGCCTTATATTCAATAACTTACATTAACATTAAATTAACAAGAAAACTTCTGTGTATCAAAAGACATGCTTGAGGGAGAAAAAGGCAGCCCACAGAATGGTAAGGGATTATTTTAGTCTATTTGAGCTGCTATAACAAAATAGCAAAAACTGGATAGCTGACAAACAACAAATTTATTTCTCACAGTGTAAGAAGCTAGAAAGTTCAAGATCAAGAACTAGTGGATTTGGTGTCTGGTCCACATTTTCAAACATGGTGTCTTCTCCTTGTGTCCCCACATGGTAGAAGGAGCCATCAAGCTCTCTGAAGTATCTTTGACAATGGCACTAAGCTCAATCACGGCAGTTCGCTTTCATGACCTATCACTTTTCAAATCTCCAAAGGCTCCAGCTCTCAATACCATTACATTGGGGATTTAGGGTTTAACGTACAAATTTAGGGAAGACACAAACATTCACACCATACCAGAGATTAATAGCCAAAATATACAGAGAACTCCTAAAACTTACAACAACCAAAAAACCCAAATAATTCAAACATGGGCAAAGGGCTTAAATAGATATTTCTAAAAAAAAAAAATACAAATGACCAATAAACACATGAAAAGATACTCAGTATCACTAATCATTCAGGAAAGGCAAATCAAAACTACAATAAGATACCCCCCTCATACCCATTAGGATGGCTATTATTTAAAAAACAAATAGAAAAAACAACTTTAGTAAGAATGTGGAGAAATTGTAACCCTTGAGTACTATTCCTGAGAATGTAAAATGGCTCAGCCACTATGGAAAATAGTAGTTTCCTCAAAATAATAAAAATAGGCCTACCTATTAAAAACATAACTAACATATGATCTAGCAATTCCACTTCTGGGTATATATCCAAAAGAATTGAAACCAGAGTTTCAAAGAAATATTTACACACTCGCATTCACAGCAGTACTATTCACAAAACCCAAGAGGTACATATATGCAACCAAAATGTCCAAACAGAGATAAACGGATAAATGAATATATACATACAACATGATATTATTCAGCTGTAGAAAAGAATAAAATCCTGTCATATGCTACAACATGGATGACCCTTGAGGACATTATGCTACATGAAATAAACCATTAATGAAAAGATAAGTATTGCATGATTCCACTAAGACTGTCAAAATCACAGTGACAGAAAGTGGAATCCTGGTTTCTAGGCACTGATGGGAAATCAGTGCTTAATGGGTATAGAGTTTAGGTTTTGCAAGATGAAAAGAGTTCTGGAGATGGATGGTAGTGAGGGCTGCACATAAATCTACTTACCAATGTATTATATGCTTAAAAAACGTTAAAATAGCATATTTTATGCTATATCTTGAGTCTCACTTTGTTGCCCTTGGTAGAGTGCCATGGCATCACAGCTTATGGTTACCTCAAACTCTTGGGTTTAAGCAATTCTCTTGCCTCAGCCTCCTGAGTAGCTGGGACTATAGGCACCTACCACAAAGCTCGGCTATTTTGGGGGGGGGGGTCACTCTGGCTAAGGCTTGTCTCGAACCTGGGAGCTCAGGCAATCCACCCATCTTGGCCTGTCAAGTGTTATTACAGGCGTGAGCCAAAAACTGGGATAACAAAAAAAGTTTAACACATGTGAAATCAGAGCTGCAGAATGAAAACCGAAAATGAGGTTGGAGGAAATCTTTGAAGTGATAATAGTTGAGATTTTTACAAAATTAAAATAACAAAATACAGATCCAAGAAGCTCAAAGAAATTTTTAAGATAACGTATCATAAGACGTCCTTGTAGAAACATAGAGTAAACCTTGCTTTTAAAAATCTAATCTGATGATCTCTGCTTATTATTTGTAGTATTTAGATCTGTGCTGTCCAACATGATTGTCACCTGCCTCAGGTGGCTATTTAAATTTAAATTTAATAAAATTTAAAATTCAAGTCTTCAGTTGTACTGGGTACATTTCAAGTGATCAATAGAAACGTGACCAGTGGCTATTGGACAGCACAGACTTAGATCGTGTACATTGTTACAGAAAGTTCTACTGGACAGTGCTGCACTCACATTTAACTATTGATATGGTTAACATTAAAATTACCATCATGACATTTGTTTTCTAACTGTCCCTTTCCTTCTTTATTTTTTTGGTGTTTTTTCCTGCTTTTTTATGATCTTACATATTATTTTCTCTGCTATTGGCTTACTGGCTCTCTCTCTGTTTTATGTTTTTAGTAGTTGCTCTAGGTTTTATATTAAATATTTTTTTTAACTCATAACAGTCTATCTTGAGATATTATACCATTTCACATATAGGATGAGAAGTATTACAGCAGTATACTTTTCCCTCTTTCTGTCCTTTGAACTGCTGTGCAATTGTTATTAGGCATGGCCATTTCCAATATTTCTCAAATATAATCTTGTTAACAAAATTATTGGAAAATGCAAAACCCTGTAACAGAGGAATGCTATTTTAAATACTTTATTTTCATTGACATTAAAAGTAAAGATTTTAAGATAAATTTACTTTAAACATACTGAATTCTGACTCTTTGTAACTGAGTAAGAGATAAGAAATCAATCTCTACATCATGTATAACTTTTTACATGATAAAACACAATATTGTCTCTCCTGAAGCTGTAGTCAATCCTACTGGCTTCATGCTTGTAAACTGTAGAATTTTAAGAGACTTCAGACCTAACGAAAATTTAACCTTAAACTATGTACCATTTTAATAGTATTTCACCTTGAAGCCCTATGTTTGCATGTATCATGAAGGTTTTAGTTTTTGGGTTTTGAAGATACATGGAGGTTTCATTGTTTGTTTCATCTTTCTGATTTTTGCTGTTGGAGTCTTTGATTCTTTTTTATTTATTTTTAATTACTTGGCTTCACTATATCCATTATTATTTTCCATATCATATTCTTGACACTATTTTCTTTTGTTGAAAAAAAGTCTCTTTATCAGCCTTACATTCAATAACTTACATTAAAACACCATACTGAGAAATAATTTGGTCCATCTAACAACATCTGTGCCTGTACTTTTTACGTATACACATACCCATGAGATAGACTATGACCATCTCCATCACTCACAAAAGCCACAATCTCAGGTTCATTTCCAAAATTGATACATGTGATATTGCTGTTGAACCACTGGGACAGAGGTGGTTAAACCTTACATTATACCTTTTAACAAAATATGTTTCATGGCTCATGGCTCATAAATGTAATTTCACTATATACAGCAGACAGTGAGTAAACCTACTCTGATTCATGGTAATAAGCCCACTCATATTTTTACTGGTTTACTACTGACTAAATTAAGCCCCAATTTCTAAAATATACATATATTATATATTATATTATATTATACAGTATATAGTGAGCAGAAAATGAATAGCCACTCCAATATGCTTATCAAGAACAGGCTTAAAAAAGAAGTAATAAATCCTAGTCTAAATTTTAAGAGACCTACCAAGCCTAAATAAAAATTAATATACTAAATAAAACTTAGTATTAAACAATGCTTATTTGTTTTACAAAAGAATATAATTCTACAAACTGAAAATCTAAGAATGCTAAAGTGTCAATTAAAAATAGCAACAATAGGCTCAGCACCCATTGTTCAGTGGTTAGGGCACTGGCCACATGCACTGGGGCTGATGGGTTCGAACCTGGCAAGGGCCTGCTGAACAATGACAACAATAAAAAAACAAACAAAAACAATAGCTAAGTGTTGTGGTGGGTGCCTGTAGTCCCAGTGACTTGGGAGGCTGAGGCAAGAGAATTGCTTAAGCCCAAGAGTTTGAGGTTGCTATAAGCTGTGATGATTCGGCATTCTACTGAGGGTGACATAATGAGACTCTGTCTAAAAAAATAAAAAATAAACATAGCAACAACAAAGTCCTACATAATCAGGTCCTGAACATAAAGTTCTTTTGGATACTTACCCAAGTCTTCCTAGCATCTCAAACTCAGGAACTTTTGGACCACATGTCTCTATTTGCAGTGGTTGGTATTCATACAGCGCTTCTTCAAGTTTTTGAATAGGTGCTAATGAAATATGTTGACCCTATTAGAAAAATGAAATAAATTAATACCTTAAATATTACTTTCATATTGCTAGTTATGTACAATCACTTTAAAGAGAGATTAAATTATTGGTATTAAAAATACTATCCGTTAGGTCTGCTGTTTCACTGGTACAATATTGAAACTCACACTACATTATTAACATATAGGCATTGAGATATGATTTAAAGAAAGAAAATTAGGGTGGCGCCTGTGGCTGAGTGGGTAGGGTGCCGGCCCCATATACCGAGGGTGGTGGGGGCAAACCTGGCCCCAGCCAGCTAAAAATAGCAGTGGCAGGCTCGGCGCCTGTGGCTCATAAGGTGGCGGGTTCGAATTCCCAGCCCGGGCCACCAAACAACAATGACAGCTGCAACTAAAAAATGGCCAGGCGTTGTGGCGGGCACCTGTGGTCCCAGCTACTTGGGAGGCTCAGGCAGGAGACTCGCTTGAGCCCAGGAATTGGAGGTTGCTATGAGCTATGATGCCATGGCACTCTACCCAGGGGGATAGCTTGAAGCTCCCTCTCAAAAAAAAAAAAAAATAGCAGTGGCAACTGCAACAAAAAATAGCCAGCATTGTGGTAGGCATCTGTAGTCCCAGATACTTGGAGGGGCTGAGGCAAGAGAAATGCTTGAGCCCAAGAGCTGGACTTTGCTGTGAGCTGTGATGCCACAGCACCCTACCAAGGGCAACAGAGTGAGACTATGTCTAAAAAAAAAGAAAGAAAGAAAATTAAATCCATTATTAAATTCAAATTCAGCATTAAACAGTACAATTTTTGTATGTCAATAGTAAAACTCAGCAAACAAATACATGCATAATCTACCTCACATTTTCCTCCATTCAAGTGTTGATATTTTTGGTAATCAGTGTTTTCTTGGAAGCCCTAATTAGGAAATAAAGCTAATGAAATTTTCTACAAAGCTTTGGCAGCTAAATGTCTATTCTCTTAAGTCTTTATAACAGAATCAATCTTGCTTACCAAATATTTATGATTTCACATCATTTACACACATACACAGACAAAATAAAAAAATTTTATGCTTAAAATCAAATTGAATAGAAACATCCAGATATTTTTCTAAGAAGAAAGAACTACTAGATAACTAAAATACAAGGACCTACAGACCATCTTTGAGCACAGACACACAAAATAAAGTGTCACTCAGCAACATAACACTGTTACACTGAGAATTACATATTCATTATACATACATCTACACACAGAATTCAAATTTATAAAAATCCCTATTTTTTTATATAGTTCATGGTTTCCTATTCTAATCCTAGTTCTGTTATTTTTCTTGGTATAGTTATCAGTTTCTCTATTTTATACTTTTTTATAAACCATTCTTATAAGTTATTAGATCTTCAACTTTCTAGTTGATATATTTTTTCTTTTGTTACTTTCTTTAGTTCTCTTTTCTCCCCTAAATTACTGAGTTGCATAATACACATGTTAAATATTTTAAAGTAAAGGTTATAACTTAAAAGTGACTAACTATAACTGCAGCAGTGAGGAACAACCACCGAAGAAATGTGCACTTGACTCAAGGTTTTTCTCTTTAACGGTTCAAATCCATGTAGCATCATTCTAAGTAGTTTACAGTCATGTTATAATAAGGATATCTAACACTGCAATCACAAAAGTACTTCTCCAAAAATGGTCAAAGGACTTTTCTCCAAAAAAAATAAATAAATGGCCAATAAGCATGTGAAAAGACACT